AGACAGCTTTTAAATCCTTCTTTTACAAACAATAATAAAGGGCAAAGGCATGAAGAGACAAAGGGAATTACTCCCATATTACCCAATTCCTATATATTCACATATTTGACATCCAAGTCCCCCCAATCCAGAAAGCAACTTTTAAATAAGTAAATAATCAGCCAAAAAAAACGTCTAAACTTCTTCCAGAACAATAAGCAATCAGCCCAAAAAGCAATTGAATCTTCTTCCAAAACAGTAAACACAGAGCCAAAAGCAACTTTTAAACATTCTCTCAAATCAACAAAAATAGAAAACAAAAGGAGCCCTCAAATCCCCTCCAAATCAACCAAAACATACGGCAAAAGCAGCTTTAAACTCTCCTTCAAATCAACCAAGACAGAGCTAAAACAGCTCTCAAACATTTTCCAAATCAACAGAAATATAGAGCAAAACAGCTTTTAAACCATTTCTTCCAAATCAACAAAATAGAGAGCAAAAAGAGCTCTCAAACCTTTTCCAAATCAACAAAAATATAGAGCAAAACAGTTTTTAAACCATTTCTTCTAAATCAGAAAAATAGAGAGAGCACTAAGGGGTGAGAGACTAAGGGGTTTACTCACGTACTGCCAATATTTTATAACAAAACATAGAAGATGCGCAACCAGGATAACTATGGCTTCACCAATATGAGCAAATTACAAAACATAGGAGATACAAAACCAAGGTAACAATGGCTTCACCAATATGAGCATATAACAAAACATTATGCAACCATAAATAGATGTTATACTTCATGCATAGCTCAGCAGCCACATTGGCATATAAAAGCACGAATTTCCACTCCAGCCTCCATACCCAATTCCAAAGGGGTATCGGATAACCAGCAAAAAGAAAGCGGAGCTTCTTCAATAGAGGAGATAGAGAATCACAACAATCATGCATGAGCCTCCAGCATCGCTCACCAGTCACATTGGCATATCTAGCAACAATCACTATAAAACCCATGAATCATTTGCAGTTCTACAAAATGCTTTGGACACTTCATAAAGTGAACCTCAAATAAATGGAATAATATGCTAGTGGAAGCAACCTTACACACAACATGTGCCCAAATCAAAGCACATACTAACGCGTGCATCTCATGCGTTTCAAAAGGGGATTGATTGAATAGAAAGTGAAGAGATATGTTACCTCTTGATGCAAGCCCAAAGCAACTTCAAGAACAAACCCAGAAATATCTAGCAACATCTTCACTTACCAGAACTTCAACCACCACAAACACTCCCCTAGGGGATTTTTTTTTTCAAGAAGACAACCTATGGCCTCTTTAAAAAGAGAGGGGACTCAAACAGGCATAGCATCGGGAAGGTGGAATTTCGGCTCAAGAGGTGTTGGGAAGGGAGAGGGTCGACTGGCTGGGGCTTCGAGAAGAAGAGGAAGAGTCGACCAGCCAGGGCTTCGCAAATGTGGGAGATGTTCAGCCGGTTAGGGCTCAGGCGAGAAGGGACTGGTCGAAGGGGAGGAAGGAATCTGGCTCAGTAGGCTAGGACTTCGCTCAGGCTGAAGGAGAGGGATCGCGAGTTGCGAGAACTGGAGAGGGGGGGGAGTCCCTTGCGTTAGGGAACTAGGAGAGAAATAAAATATTTTTTTATTATTATTAATTTTATAATGTTTAATATTTACAATTCCTAGATGGCGCACTATTCGTTTGTGCACAAAACTATATCAAAATGTGTCCCTCCTACATAAAATCGACGTCTCGGATGAGTTCGCGCGCTCCATTTCGTCATTCAGGATCGTTTGAACAAGTTCATCAACATTTTGGTCAAAATGCGTCAAATTTAATTTTATTTGAATTCTAGTTCGTGATTGATCATTTTGAAAATTAATTTTAGTTTTAAAAACGGTGAAGTGTATGCAAGTGTAGGCGATGTAAATGAGGTGTGAACCAGACCACCCTAGAGCTTGATGATCTTATAGGAACCTTCTGTGGGTTTCATCATGTTAGTCTCCACCACTCAAGTACTGGTGGTCCAAAATCACACATGTGATACCCCCAAAAAGAGTCAAGAAGTGGTTTGAATTTTTTAGTGGGGTAGGTCTCAACACAAAGCTTCTAAGATGGTCAAAAGAAAGTCCTATGACTAGATCTTAGACTCTAGAAAGAAGAAAGAAAAACCTCACAAAAATAAGGTCAACAATCACCCACTGTATCTTTTGTTTGCTTGGAGATTAATCAAATTAGGCCTAATTTGTGTTTTCCCACATATTTCTTGCAATTGGTCTGTTGATTTTCGTTATGATCCGCATCAAATTGGTATTTAAACTTGTACTTGGAGAGATGGCAGCAAAGAAAGTGGATTCTTTGGAAGAGAGATTGGACAAAGAAGTGCAACAAATTAAATCTGGGATGAAGGAAAAATGGTCAATCATGGAATGAAGGTTTTCCTCCATAAAAAGTTGATTTGAGGGCTTCGACGAGATGAGGATGAGGCTTAGTGAGATGCAGTCCAAAACACTGTCAACAAATCAAATTGCAAACCCTAATCAAGGTTTGACCGAAGAATTATTGACCAAATATAAAGGGAAAGCGATCTGAAAGAGATCAGATGAGAGAAATAGCATCAACCATCGAGAACATTCTCCTAGGGTTCCGATGAGAGGTTGATTATGATTATTCGATGTAGGGCGTTAGACCTCAACAGAAGGAATGTGCTATGCAAGGGACATAGGGGAGTACAAAGAAAGAAGAAGAGAAGATGGGATGGGGTATGGCTATGATCGAAAGAGGGATTTTCACCCTAGATACATGGGGAAAACTACCGGAGGGAGAAAAAGTTGAGGTGGGGACGCTAAGATTAGGAAGTTGAAAATACCGATATTCAAGAGAGAAGAAGTACAAGGTTGGGTGTACTGGACGGAGGGATATTTCACTGTAAATGGGCTAAATGAGGATGAGAAGCTCATGGCCATAGGGTTATATTTGGAAGGGAAACCCCTAACATGATTTCAGTTGAAGAAGGCTAAATACCTAATCCGCTTGTTGGACGAATTTAAGGATTGCTTCTTGAAAGGTTTCCGATCCACTCATAAATGAGACCTACATGAGCAATTATTTGCCTTGTTAGAGAGGAGCGAGAAGTTTTCCCCATGATATTTTGTACCCTATGAGATAGTGGCATGCATTGGGACAATGGAATACTGTTTAAGGTTACCACTATCATCATCATTGCATCTAGTATTTCATGTATTACAATTGAAATATGTTATCGAAGACCACATACCCTCGTCTGCACTGCATCTGACACTTAAAAGACATGGAGGTGGTTTTGAAAAATTTTGAGCCAAAAGGGTTGCACCAAGGAGTGACTGGGGCAAATGAGATGTTGATCAAGTGAAAAAATCTACAAGATTATAAACCAATTCAGAAGTCTTATGAAATGATCCAAAAGCAATTTTCATTATTCCACCTTGAAGACAAAGCGTTTTTTTGGGAGGGGAGTTGTTTCGCTAGTACCTCTTGGACCAGCCCAGACCGGCCAAGCCGACTAGCCCAACCTGGGGAAGGGGAGGAGGAGGGGGGTGTGGAGTTTAAATGTGTTTTGGAGGTGTTTTATTAGGGCTAATCACTTGGAATTTGTTTTCATGTTTGGATTCCTACATCTTTCTTTCTCTTTTCTTGTACCTATCGGCATCTAGGGATTGTGGAGTCGATCAACATCTCAAATTATAGATCAACCATTGAATCTTGTTTGTTTGCATGGAGATTAATCAAATTATCCCTAATTTCGGTTTTCCCACATATTTTTTGCAATTACTTTACTGATTTTAGATCCGATTCGTATCCAAACTTAAAATTTTGTGTATGGGTCATAAATTACTCTCATAAAATTTCAGAGAAATTACACTAAGTTTGGAGAAGTAGGTTTCATGCCAAAAAGATCTATTATGGAAACAATTTTGTGTTGAGATAATAAGCAATTTTAAGTTTCAGCTTCAAGAATTTTTCAGAGCCCATCATTCCTATAATGGGCTTTAAGTGTATAAGTTACTACTTAAGAAATCCCAATTATCCATGTATCAAAAATAACATTGCAGTCACAAAAGAACTAACCGATTAGTATTAATATAACGTAAGGATATCTAAACTCTCTTAACAAAATTACAAGAAAAAGTTCTACCGTGATATACCCTGCACTTGCGTATAAGGTCTCAAAAATAGAACTATTTTTACTCTTCCTTCATATGCCAAATGTAAAGCTAGAAACAAAAGATGCAACAAGTGTTGGGACATAAATTACTCTCATGAAATTATAAATGGTTTAGATAAATTACACAAGTTTGGAGAAGTAGATTTTATGCCAAAAAGATCTAATATGGAAACGCCTGTTTCCTTTTTGGAGGATTCCAGCCCCTGGGTGGAGCCCATTAAGCTCCTAATCAGCGAGAAGAGGAATTGGGTGCGTGGGTGTGGTGTTGCAGTTTAAATGTGTTTTGGGGGTGTTCTACTTGGGCTAATCATCTAGGGTTTGTTTTTTAGAATCCTACAGTTTTCTTTTTGTCTTCTTGCTCCTATCCGCATCTAAGGATTGTGGAGTCAATCAACCCCTCGAATTGTTTGTTGGAGATTAATTAAATTATCTCTAATTTGGGTTTTCCTATATATTTCTTGCAATTACATCACAGATTTTGGATCCGATTCCTATCACCCATCTTTCCATAAAAAATAAATATTAAATAAACTTGATTTATAAAGAGAACTAACATTATTAACAAGAATGGATATAGTAAGACTTTATGAAACATGCCATATTTAGTTGAGACAAATCGCAATTGACAGAAAGCAAAAGTGGAAGAGATTAGAAAAATACATTTCAAAGCATCTATTGCCAAATTTCTAATGAAAATGGTATTAAATTCATCATTGCTCTCCCGAGTTGGTTATTTATTTAACATAAAGTAGGGCAGATAGTAAGGAAAAGCACAGCAATATTACAGCAAATAGAATAGAGGAATACCTCACTTAAATCTCTATAATGGACAAGAACAATGTGCTCGTACTTCCTGAAAAAGCAAAAGACAACAGAGTAAATTGAACAATCGATTAACAGTAATTACAAATTCTAGCATAAGTCGAATCATATGGCCCATAGTTTCAGTTCATCTTTATAAATCCTTGTGCCACAATGTCAAGGCAAATTTTAATTTTCAGCTTCAAAAATTTTTCAGAGCCCATCATTCCTATAATGGGCTCTCAGTGTATAAGTAACGACTTAAGAAATCCCAATTATCTCTGTATCACAACTAACACTGCAGTTACAAACAAAATTACAAGAGAAAGTTCCACTATGATATACCCAGAACTTGGGTGTAACGTTGCTAAAAAAGAATTATTCAAACTCTTCCTTCATACGCCAAATGCAAGCTAGAAACAGAAAATGCAACAAGTGAATGGGTCTTCAATTACTCTCATGAAATTATAAATGGTTTAGCGAAATTACACAAGTTTGGAAAAGTAGGTTTCATGCCAAAAAGATCTACTATGGAAACAATTTTTGAGTAGATAATTAACAAAAAAGTATAAACAGTAAAGAAAGGATCATCATATGATTTTCATTTATCTTAAGAAGGTAAATATTTGGCAGCAATAGAATTAATTTATGTGCATTTAAGGAAGAAAATGTCTCGAAGATGATTCAAAATCATTGTTACTCTCTTGATTGAGCCAGCTATATTGAGTTAACATAATTACACTTGACTAAGTCCAATACCCTTATAGCTTGTTCTACTAGCAAGATTAGAGATGATCCAAGCAACCTTGATTCCAATTACTTGTGCAGTAACCAATAAGTTTTCAATTATAATAGGCTTACATCAAAAATCAATATCAAATACATATCATTTTATATGATTATGAAGAGCCTTAATAAGAAAATATTCAAAGTGAGGTACCATTGTATAAGCTTTCCACACATTATAACTATAGATAAGATGTCAATTAACATATATGAAAAAGCTAAAACAATACAAGAAGTATTTATTAGCTAGAAGAGTTAAAATTAGTAAAATAAAGTCTGAATGCATGATGATGTGTAAAGTGTGATATTAACACTTATTATTCAATAGTAATATAAGATAAAATGATAATTATATGTCACAAGTTTAAGTATATTGGATCTATTATACTAAAAAATAAGGTATGTAATATAAGAATATGACTCTTAGAGTTCAGGTTGATGGTTAAAACAGGTTAGTGTTTACAAAAATTGTGTAAAAAGAGAGTATCATGAAAACTTCGTGGGTTTCCCTCACTTTAAGTTCAACTAAGGCAACAATGCCTTACAGTTAAATTAAAAATGAAAGATATATTTCATGAAAAAATGATGTGATTCTAGATGAAGCCACAACACAATACAAGCAAAAATAGTATAATAGAAACAAAGGCGTCATAAGAGAATGAGATTTACCCATCAAGTAGCCAGTAGCATCTTCTTTGGAAGTTTTCATTGTCCTCACCATGAGCATAATAACAATGAAGAACATCTACACTGCCAGCCTAAAGAGGAAGAAAAGCATGTTTTATAAAATGAAAGCATGTTGATAAAATCGGACATCAAAATAGCTACTTCAGAAAAGCCAAGTACACCAACTTCGAATCTAAATTCTGTTCTTCAGGAATAAAAACAAAGATGAAGTAGACTGCCAACCCGTTGTAAGAAGGCAAACAATCAAGCATACAATTATTTTTATTATCTCCATTTTTCGTTTTTCTACTTCTTTAAAGCATACAAAACACAAATTACAAATCGAGAGCATTCAATCTTGATCCACACCATTGGAAGTAGCAGGGCAGCAAATTTTAAACCCATCTAAACTACCCATGCAACGAGAGTCTTAAGTTAACACCAACATGGGAGATTGATCTAAAGAGGTATATGACTAAATGTGTTTCGATGTACTAGCAACATCTTGAGAAGATTCAACAGTTTTTATTTTCAAGAAACCAACTAAAAGTGTTTTCATGGTCTTATAAATCATCCATTTATTTTCCATACTTGCTCTATGGTCACATAAACAGTAAAGTTGAGATTATTGGTGCAAGTTTCTTTTAGAATAAAAAGATCAACAGCCTTGACAATATATTTGTATGTGTCATCATAACTACTAAGTACATCAAGATAGACATACTCAAAATAAGATGATGGTAGGCCACCGAAAATAGGCTGTATGGTCACCTTGGCATTTTGATTGACTAATGTACATTAATGAAAGTGACACAGATTAGAAAGTATCATATTTAAATTAAAATAACTTTACTTAAAGTGCTATTTGAATAGAGTATATCCAAGAAAGCTGTTCATTAATCCCAGATTTGAAATTTATTTATTTATTTTCTTTGAAATTTAATATTATTTGCAGGTGACCTACGAACGTGCTACAGATTAATCAACCATGCAAGTATTTTCACAATTAATATGCACAGAAAAGTTTATCAACGATACAGTTTTAGTAACTTTTGAACTAATTTTCTCCATGTACAAATCAAAATAAATTACTAATCGGAATAGGGCACTGACACAATATTGTGTTGACCTCATTTTGAGGTCATTACTCTTTTCCTTAGGATCCTAGGATCAAGCTCTAGGGGTTTCTATTGACCATCTTAGAAAACTAGAACTAGGACCCTAGAAATTCCAGCCACTTCCTATTTCTCTTATGGTGTCTCGCATTGATGATCTCAAAATCATCGTCCTATGGTCAAGTGGTAAAGGATTATCATATGAAGGCTCAAGGAGAAATTCCCAATAGGATTTCAAACCCTAGGAAAACCTCTTCAGAACTTTATCATCACACATGTACACCAAATGCACAAAATTCACTAAATTGCACAAGATCGGACTTAAATTGAGCGTAAAGGATGGGTGAAAATGCGAACTTCTCCGGACGACCTCCGACAACAAAATGAACTGCAACAACGCGTCCAGGACATTAATTTTAGTACGAAAAGACACACATATTGTCATATTTTCAACACGAGCTAAAACACGAAAAAATTTGCACGCAAATCAATGAATTCGTCAAAATGACCTCCGATGACAAAACGGACCGCGTCAGCACGTCTGAAACGTCGAAATTACCTAAAAAGGACATCAATTTTGTTATGTTTGGATGCACGAATAAAAAGTACGAATCAAATTTTATTTTTAAGAAAAATTAAATATTTTATATATTTTATTACTTATAATATTAAAATTATAATCCTAAACCCTATTTTATCTATTCTCGCACACTTAATCCCTCGTTCGACCCCGCGGCTTAGTCGAACGCTCGGCTCGTCTCCCTCGTGTGCCCTAGCTCCCGTGGACGATCCACGCGGCAATCTCTTTCCCCTTTCTCGACTCTTCCCCTTTTTTGCGTGGCCGCTAGACTCTTCGGCTCTCCAATTGCAAGGGTTGAGCTGGCCGACCCTTCTCCTTCTAGAGGTTTTACCGTCTCCCTCTTTACTGTGGCAATTATTGCCTTGCCGTTTGATTCGATCACCTTACGGTGGTAGGTGGCCGTTCCCCCTCTCTTCTCTGCCTATAAAAAAACTTATTAATATACTGTTTTGGGTTGTTGAAAATTTCTTGAGAGAAAGAGATGTTGTGGTTTTACTGTTTGAGGCCTTTAGGGAAGAAAACTCTGCCAAAATTCTTTCTAGACTATATTTTCGTGCGTTGGGAGTGTGGAGCATTTGTGGATTGTTGTTTTCTGAAGCTTTTAGGAAGGGAAGCTTTGTCGAAATCCTCTCTAAGTTAGATTCTCGTGTGCTGGGAGTGTGGAGCCTTCGTGGGTTGCTGTTTTCTGAAGCTTTTGGAGGAAAGTTTCTGTAGGAGGTGTTTTCTTAAATTTGTTCTATAGTTTTACTTTAAGTCTGCATTAAGAGGTATTTCTCTTCTTTCCTCTAATCTGCATCACTCAGATTTGCACCTGAAAATAATTTCTCTCTTTTAAAACATGTGGAAGTAAAAGTTTATGCCTGCTTTTGAGATCTAATCCTGGAAAGCTCCTTGAATCAATAAGATGAAGTGTAATATGGCTGTTTTCTCTTACTTTCTGATTCAAAATGCATGATAAAGAAAATTTTGGAACATTCCTGTGGTTGCCATGAAATGATAGCTTCCTATTTGAAATATATGTTAAATGAAATGATGGTTTGAGTTTTGATTCTGAGGCTCTCTATTATTGTTAACTTTTTTATTCATTAACTTTATTCAATTAAATGTTGGAATTCATTTCAAAGCTTGATGACATGATGGCTATAAAGATTCATGCATACTTATATGCTACCTGTTATTTGATTCCATTCAAAACATATGTCGGCACGATATTTTGGAATATAAAGCTCCAAGGAGAAATATTTTCTGTTTTGCCTTTCTTGTGGGCTCGGTTTGCCCATATGCTGGATTTGGTTTGGCCCCTTTGCTAAGCTCGGTTTTGACTTCTTCTAGGCTGGATTTAACTGAAAGTTTTACATTATTTTTTACCCATTTAGTAGGCTCGGTTTGGCTCCTTTTGGTATTATGTCTTAGCTGAAAGTTCTCTATTGTTTCTCCCCATTTAGTGGGCTCGGTTTGGCTTAAATTGCATTATTTTCTTTAGCTCTTATATTGGGCTTGGTTTTGTCAAAGATATGGACTCAGCTTGGCTTGGAGGTTTATCTGTTTTTGCCCCTTTTCCTGGTTTTAGTTGAGCAGAAATCGTGTTTTATTTTTTACTCTAAATGCTAGACTCGATTTTGGCTGGAATTCTATTTCTGTTTGCCCTTTCCTGCTGGACTCAGTTTACTCTCTATGGCTCTCTATTATGTTCTTTTTACTGGGCTCGGTTTGCCCCTGTGTTGGGCTCGATTTTGCTTTGAAATGTTCTAGTTTTGCCCCTATGCTTGGCTCGATTTGTGCCTTGTGTTGGCTTGGCCAGGTGTTGTTTCTAGCCCAATATATGGCTGGCTTTCCTGTTACTGTTCCTGGCACTGTTCCTCGCCGTGAGCCCTCTCCCGTGGCTCTTTTATGTTAAATGTGGTATGGTGATTTCCCTTGGCTGTCCCCAGCCGTGAGCTTCCATGCCTTGGTTCTTTGATTCTCTGTTGCTTACGCTTACCCGAGAACACCTGTTTATGTTGCTTGTCCCTTTGTGTTGGGTTCGGTTGGGTTGAAAACTCTGGATATAATGCTCCCTTTTTGAGATTTTTATTGATAATCAAGTTTGTCATCCCAAAATTCATGATTTCAACATATAATTCTATATGGGAATGTTTAGGATAAGCTGATCGACTCATTACTATATCTTACCTGATGAAAATGGCTTTGGTTTGGATAGTTTATGATAGCTTGTTCATCCACTCTCTTATATACATCAAAGGTAATGCAATGGCAATACCTATGGTGGTTTCCTTCCTGCTGTCTTGGTCGTGAGCCTTACTTGGTGATTGTTGCCTTTGTGGTCTTCTTCTTTGCCCCTACCCGTGAGCCTTATTATTGTAATTTGTGTTGTGGTTGGCTGGGATTTAATTTGCTTCTCATTCTATCATGGCTATGAGTTCTTCCTATGATTTTTTTATATTAAAGGTGGTTGGGTCAGGCTTAAATATATGGTGGTTTTTCCCTTTTCTTGGACTTACCCGTAAGCTTAGAGGGAAGAGGCCTTCCTCTTGCTGCCCTTTACCCGTGAGCCTTACTGTGGAGGTTCCTTGGTCTGTGGCATAGTTGGTTCGGGATTGGCCTTCTACTGCCCCTGCCCGTGAGCTTTGTCCTATTTACTGTCTTAAATTGTAAGTTTATGTTGAAGTTTGGTTGTGCATTTCACGGTTTCTACTTGTGGGCTTGCTGTGAGCCTTGGCTGCTATCTTTCCTGACCTTATTCATGAGTCCCTGCTCTCTTTCCTGGCCTTACCTGTGAGTCCTTGCTCTCCTTCCTGCTGTTACCTGTGAGCCTGTGGAGGATTATTCAAGTTCATTTTGTCATGGTAGTAAACACTTCTATATTTTCTAAATTAGTGTTACATTTGTATAATTGTGGAAAGCTTCTAAAAAAAGGATGGAATTGAATAGAATGGATACCAGTATGGTTTTGAGGATTTAAAAAGTTGCTCTATGGATTATTCTCCTTATTTTGGGATTTGAAAACCTATAAAATTGTCATTTGGAAAAGTGTTTGGAGATTTAACATGGAAGCGTGGAGAACATAAATACTATATTCGGGTTCAGTCATGGGTGTGTGAGCGCATATAAGTGATGGAGCTATGAGAACAGTGTTTTGGGCCCATTTCAATCCATTTGAAACAAAAATTTGGAAAGGATACTCTTTTTGGGTTGATCGAATTATTATAAAATTTGATAAGATGATATCCTCTGAATTGATTCAAGGATCTTGGGTTTTTTTTTAAGATCTTTCGTCAAAGTTTTGAGGGTTGCTCCACTCTTTATTATTTCGATCTTTTAGGTGGATCAATTCCTCCTCTCTCTCATCCCCATTTTTATTGTTTTTTTTCCTTGCTTCTTGATTCGGTTTTCTGTG